GAGCTTGTCGAGGTCGACGGCGCCGTCATACGTCAGGTGAAAGTACACGTTGCACGCGTCGACGGCGTGGGCTGTGCCTCCAAACAGCGGTGGACGTTGCTTGTAGCCGAAAATCAAGTCGATCCACTCGTGCAAATGCGCCGAGACGTAGTCGCTTTCGAGCGCGGCGCGGTGGAGTCGAATGAACTCGTGGGCCGACCCGTGCGCCCACGGCGGCAGAACGACGTTGTCGACGACGTCGCCGTTCTGCTTGATACCGAGCTCGATGCGGTTCGTATTGAGAAGAAACTCGGGGAGGTAGTAAAACTCGGGGATGAGCTCGCGCACGTCGCTCGGGTTGGTCGTGCAGCTCCGGAACGAGGCTTCGATCGAGTGAAACAACCGGTCGGCGTGGTCGAGCTTGCCTAGACGCACGTAACAATTGCATCGCCGACGAAGTGCGTACCGCCTTGCAGCTGCTTGTGGTAGCTCGTGAACGGCTGCAACCGCAGCAGAAAGCCAATCACAAACGCCGAACACGAGTAGTGCGTGCCATAGTGGAACGGCGGTAGCTGCGGCATGTCGTCTTCCTACGTTTCTCGATTCCGTAGTATCCTATCCAATGGATCGACGAAATTGTCGCTACCGAATGCGGGACTTGGAGCGACCGCTGGTACTCGACTTCGAGCACGTTGTAGCGCTCGGTGAAGAACGCCAAGCTCGCATCGTTCTGCACGCCAATGGGCCGCGACAAATTGCGAAAGGTTGCCGGGTTGCTCAAGTCGAGCGTCTCACTCGTGTAATCGGCCAGCACCCACGGGAAAATCTACAAATCTGTCAAAAATCCTTCAAAATACGTTGCAAAAACGTACGGGGTACTGCGCGAGATCGTTGTACGTGCGCCCCGCCATCGTGTTGAGATGCATGAGGTACTCGAAATTCGAAAGCTTCCGGTCGACCCAGCGCTGCATCGCACTCGCGTGCTCGAACCGCGCGCGCGGCGTGCGCCCGAGCGACGGCTGCAGCGCCGGCGGCTGCATGAAGCGAAGCGTCTGCTGCAACAAGGCGGCGGCCTTCTTGTCGAGAAAATTCACAAAGATGGACGCGCCGTCTCGGAAAAAGAGCTCGAGCGCCGAGGATCGAAACTGGAACCGACGGTGCTCGACGTGCAGCAAGCCCTACACGCCATAGGATGTGACGACGACGGGGAGCGTAGGAGGCGCGCACGGGCAGCGGCCACTTGATTTGCTTGCTCGTTGCTCGCACGACGAGGCTGAGGTACATCGGGTACATATGCAAGTGGCACGGCTCGTGCTTGGTCTTTGCGATCCACGCGCACTCGAACGTCGCGATGCGTGCCCCGGGGTCGATGCCGTCGGTGAGCGCGACCAGCGGCGTGTGCTCGCTCGCGGCTTCGTCGCGCATCTTGAGCTTTTCGTAAAAGTCCTCGTTGTACGCAGCGAGCGCCTTGGCTTGGAGGAGCTCGGTTGCCAGCGACAGCTGCGCATCGGCCTGCGAGATGGTCGGCAGCTCTGTCCATGCCGTTGGCGTCGCGTCCCGGGCGTAGTACCGCTTGAGCTTGCAGCGTTCGCGCCGCGTATTCTCGGCGCTGTCGAGCTTCCACTGCACGGCGACGCCGACGCGGCTGCCGTCATCGCCCCACGACGCCCGCTCGTTCGTGAGCGACCGAAGCAGGCGCTGCCACGTGTGACTCGCGTGCACGCGTTGCTTTTCGTACTTGTCGCTTGTCAGCTTCCACACGGACCGCTCCCACTGCATGGCGCTGCGCAAGATGTCGTCCATCGTCTACATCATCATGTATACCGTCTCTTTCGGTCAAAATGGATGCAGCAAAGAGGGTACCTTGGACGTATATCGGTGGCGGTGGCACTGCCGTGCAAGCAGCTCCCAGTGCACCCCAGCCAGCGTCTCGCGTGCAACCTACGAGGCATTGATCTAGGACTATACGCAGCCTCGCACGACGTCGTACTGTCTGAAGCCGCTCGGAGGCCATCTCGGCTGCCCAGTGGTCGCTGTCGTCGGTCATCGGATCGTACGGCGGCACGAGAATGTCCCAGTCGGCCCACTCGAGCGACGGCAGCTGCAGCACACTCTGCAGCTCGGCAAGAAGCGCTGTCGCGACCGGCTCGGACGACGGCGTCGGCGACGTCGACGACGACTGCTGCAGGTCGAGGAAACGTAGTTGCAGCAGCGCCTTGTGCCGCCGCGCGAGGTCCAGCGTCGTTTGGCGCCAATCACCTTGTGACTCGGCTTTGGAGAGGCCCGAGACGACGGCCAATGCACGCAAGATGTACCGCTGGGCATCCCCGCGGGCGTGTGGGCACTGGTCGTGAAAGAGGTACTCGTGCAAGAGGGGCGCGGCATGCTTCAAGGGTAACAGCAGTCGCAGGAGCGCCCGCAAGACACCGCCTTTTCGAGCCGTCCACGGCTGCGCCGTCTCAAGCTCAATCGGAAACGCCGTCCAGTACAGCATGTCCATCCCTAGTATATGCTTTAGACCTGTCGTGTACGGATGAAAGAGACAGAGGACGTACGCCGAAGCAAATGCAAGAGCGCTTCCACAAGCGCTACAGTAGGCGGCGCAGCGCGGCACCGGTCGTCTTCGACCACAAAGACGAGATGCCACACATTCGCGTGTACAAGCAGCCACTGTTGTCGCTCCGCGTCGACCGGGTCGGACGAAACGTACTGCCATTTCGACCCGTGGGCTTGGAGGCGGCTTGGCACGTCCATGTGTCGCAGACGAAGCAACAGCTGCGTCAAGTACCGCTGGCGCATCGCATCGGCGAGCGACGGCGGCGATATGGTGGCATCCAGGAGCGCGAGGCAGCGGTGCACGGTGACCCAGCCGTCGATCGCTGTCGCAATGCAGTGCACGGACCACGTGACGACCACGTTGAGCACGACTTGGCGGTCGTCGTCGTGGTCGCAGCGCTGCAGCACCAGTATCCACGACCGCAGCACGCGGTGGTGGCACACGAGTTGCAGTAGCCGCAGCTGTTGGTCGAGACCTCGAAAGACATCGAGACACGTGGCTAGCGACGCGCGTGGCATGGCCGCAAAGAGTGCCGGTACGACCACGTGCCGACGGTCGTTGACGAGCAGACGCCAGCAGAGCTCGACCACGTCGTCGTAGGCGTCGACGGGAACAAACGCAAGCGCTGCCAGCACGTGTCCGACGGCGTCCGACGGTGTCTCGGTCGTCGGTGTCGTCGCAGGAACGTCCCCGACCTCGTCGTCCGAGAGCTCGCTAAAGCTGTAGCTGCTCATGCGCCGAAGATGCGACGCGAACCGCACGTCGTTGTGCGAGGCCGCCATGCGCGGTTTGAACGCAAGGGCCGTCGCAAGCACCGTCGACGGCATCGACACCGAGTGCGGGCGGTGGTGCGCCGGCGCCTCGACCGGCAACACGCTCAGACACTGGACGACGATTTCGAGCCCGAGCAATTTGAGGCGACCCGACAGCTGCGGCCGTCGCAGCACGAGCGCGACGACCGCGTCAGCCGCCGAGATGGGCAAGCCAAACCCGCTCCATGGCGTGACGCAATAATGCGGGTCCAAGTTGGCGTCCGGCGTGTTGACTTGGCGGCGAACCTCCTTCTCGATAAGCGCTGCGAGCGTTGGCGCGAGCGTCGGTTCGGCAAACAGGCGGAGGAGGACGGTCAGCACATCCTTCTTTTGCAAGTCGTCGCCCGAGAAGGCAAGGAACCCCGTAAGCGCGTTCACATCGGCCGCCTCGAGCGACGTCTTGGTGCGAAGCAGCGTCTCGAGGAGCTCGAGGAGTGCGCCGCGCACTCTATGGCACTCGGCGGCACTCAAGTGGGACGCCACGGGGGCGTGCGTCTCGGGGTGACACCACTCGCGTCGATTGAACATGGCGCCTTTCTCAAAGTGGCTCGGCGACAAGACACCGGCGCTAGCGTCCATGCAGCCACCTTCGCTGGCCCAAATCGCTGTCGGCGGCGTAAACCAATAGTGCAACCGGAGATCGTCGAGGAGCTTCCGCACGGTCAAATGCGTCTGCCACGGCAAGCTGGGCGAGAGCACGAGCCGACGCAACGTCGCCACCGCGTACAGCTGAACGTCCAGCGGCGCGAACGACCAGAGGTAAAAGTTGCCAAGCCAGTGCTTGATGATGAGACCTTGCACGGGCCGCGGCGCGTCAAGCAAGAGCGCCGTCATGGCATCGAGGACCTGTCTCGTACGGTGCTGCGGCGCCATGCGACTGAGGAGATACGCCACGACCCGTACGCCATGGCCTTCGTGCAGAAAGCGTTGGTTGGCACTGTGGTCGTGCTGGAGCGCCGTGAGCAGCTGAAGCACATTCGCCGTCAGATCCGGACTCGGCTCAAAATCAAAGAGCGCCAGCAGTGGCAAGACGACCGCGATGCCTCCGATGCAGTCGAGCACGTCGACGAGATACCGCGTGTACACGTGGTACGTGCCCTCGAGACGTCGGGCCGCAAGCTGACGCGGCGTCGCCTCTTGAAAATGCAAGCTGCCGTTGAGGAAGAACTGGCCCTCCCAAACACTTGGGTGGTAACTCCAGAGGAGCTCGTCGAGGAGCGGGTCCGGGCGTGCCAAGAGCATGTCCGGGCCGCGGCGGTGCAGCAGTCGGACATTCTCGCGTGAGAGCGCTCTTCGAAACAAGTAGACAGCGCCAAGCTGCAGTCGCCCGAGGTGCGTCACGCCAACATCGCAGCCAATGTGGCACGACGCCACGGCCGCCAGCTCGATCGACGGGACGTCGTTCGTGCTCCAAACCACGTCGCCGTCGAGGCAAACACTCGCCTCGGGCCGCGACCGGAACGACCCGGATGCGTGCGACCAGCTTATGCAGTGCCACGCGTGCGGCACGAGAGGTACGTTAGTGTGAACGACGAGCTCCTGCGGCAACGCGTAGCACAAGACGCCCGACTGCACGTACAAATGGTAGCCGTCTCCGTTCTCGTCGCGGATCGAGACGAGGGATTGCTTCTTGCGAGACGGCGCCTCTTCGAGTCGGATCCACGTATGCAGCGTGTAGCCGCGCGACGGCAGCGTGAACGTCGGTGCGACCTCAAGCCCCGACTGCACGCCATCGAGAAAGAAGAACCGGCTGGGGCCCGCGCGCTTGGGCGTCACCATGCGGTAGAGTGCATGGACAAGCGATGCAGCGTGCGGCGCCATCGACGGTTTTTGCAAGAGGCGGAAGAAGCGCTTGAGCTGCTTGACGCCAATGCTATGGAGGCCAATTTCGACCATGACCTGCAAGAGGCCATCGAAAACGACATCGCCTTCGAGGACATCGAGGATCTGGTCGAGCGTCGCGGGCTGGACGTAGCAGCACATCGACCGGTTCAGCACCGCGTACGTCGTCGAGTCGAAGAGCTCGAGAAACCGGTGGACGACAACATGTTGCACGTCGAGGGAGCAGTGCCGGAAGAGGATCCACAACACAGGCACCGCGTCCGGGTTGTGAATCCGAGAACCCATGCGATCGTTGTCGACCATCATATCCAGAAAGAGCTCCATGGTCGCCAGAGAGATGGCATCGGGCTCGGCGGCCAAGCACACATGCACGAGCGGCGCATACGCAACACGGTCGTGGTCGTCGATCGCGGACCCAAGGAGCGACCGAAACTCGGCTTTGGACTCGCGGTTCCCCGCCATAAGCAGCGTGAGCACGGCGCCGACGGCTCGAATCACGCTGCCGTGGCTGGGCGTCTCGACATAGTGGCGCGAGTGGAGCAAATTGGTGAGATGCACGAAGAGCCCGCACTCTCGAAAGAGCGTCTGTGCCGACTTGAAATACCGACTCGATAGGAGCACCGTGTGGAGTATATCGACGAGCGCCATGACCACGTCGCCAACGCCATTCCGAGTCTGCGAGATGAGCTCGGAGAGGGACTGCGTGTACAGCTGAAAGAGCGTGGCGTGCAGCACCTCGGCCGACACGGCGGCAACGTGCCGAGCGTAGAGGAGCTCCAGACCCGCATGCAAGAGTCCGGGTAGCATCTGGAGCACAAATGGGACGCAGCTCGGGTCGTGCAGGAGCTGGAAGAGCGCCGGTAGCAGCCCACAGCGCATCGTCAGCTCGACGTCGAGGACGTCGACGGCTCGCGACGGCGTCACAAACACGTACAGAAAGCGAAGACTGGTCCGCCGGGCGAGCGACGAGGCGTCACTTCCGTCCATCGGCCCCAACAACCGCGCAAAGAGCGGGACGTGTGCGAGAAAGAAGGCGTCGAATGCGGCGCCTTCGGCTTTGGCCAGTTGCTCGAGCACCGACAGCATCGTGAAGCGAAACCACGCGTCGTTCTCGTCCGTCGTCGCGACGAGGCTCTTGAGCACGAGAGCCAAGTACGCTGTCTTGTCAGGCAGCGCGTGGACGATGCGTAAAAGTGTGGCCACGACGACCGCATGGTACACGACAAAGGATCGGCGCGGGCCCTTGTCCAGCTCCGCGATCGTCGCGGCGACATCGCCGAGCCACAGGATGTGCGAAGCGGCACAATTCGGAGCAAGCGCGTCAAACAAACCCGGATGGCGCCACAGAAACGACCACGCGTCGGCGTCACGGAGCGCGCTCGCAACGACCGTGCTCTGTGGATGCAGATGGAAGGCGTGCCGGAGAAAACACACGGCGTGGAGCTCGACGCTGACACCGCCGACGTGGCGGCGCGCGGCACGGCTCCAGTCCAACGCCACGAGGATCGTTTGCTCGAGGTAGGCGGCAATCGGCGACGCGCGCAAGTCAACCGGCATCGCCGTGTCAAGAAACACCACGGCCGGGGTCGCAAACGTGAGAAAGAGCGTATCAAAGAGCGCTTTGTAGCAGAGGTTGGCGTGGTGCCACACGTGATGCGCCGGCGTCAACGTCTCGATGCGCTGTGCGCCACAGGCCGTGACAAGACCGGTCGCAATCCAGCGCGCCGTGTGGCGCTGGCACGCGTAGCACAAGACGCGGTTGCCTTTTGCTTTCCCGACGTCCGCAAAGAGATCAGAGTGCAGCGTCAGCGCGTACGTCGGAATGTCGCAACCCGAGCGCGGCTCGATAGTCGACGTGGCCGCGAGCTGCAGCGAAGTGTCAAGGAGCCAGCGCAGCGGGGACCCCACGAGACTGAGCTTCTCGGCAAAAACGAGCCAGAGACTCTCGGCGCTCGCGCACACTTCGAGGCCGACACGGAGCACCATGGACGTGAGCGACGTCTCTTGCGCCATGCGCTGGGCCGAGCCCGACGGCTGCTTGGCCTCCAAAAGCAGCACATCAAAGAGCGCCGGCAAGAGTGCGTCGCCGGGAATTGGTGCCGAGAACGACGTACTTCGATGGACACAAAGCAGCGCCCCGACAAGTCCGAGCATATCGAGCTGGAGCGGGATCCAGGGCGACACGACCATGCGAGACGTGAGGTCGGCGGCCCGGGTCGCGGCAACAACGACGAGCAGGCTCTCGAGAACAAGACGTTCAAACGCAAGCAGCGGCGGGAGTGCGTGAAAGGCGTGGTGCAGAAACCCCATCGGCGTCGGCTTCTTCGAGTCAAAGTAATAGTCGGTCCACTCGTGGTGGACGTCGTCGAGCGCCGACAAGCACGCGTCCGAGGGGCCGGCGCTCCATGCAGCGACGGAAGGCGAGAGTATATCGGGCATGGCGACATCGACGTCGGCCCACTGCTGCCAGAGCGCGCTGGACCCGACAAAGCACACCTCGAGCAGCCTTGTCCAGCTCCGCAGCGTGTCGTACAGGCAGATCCGATCGTCGTCGTCGTCGTCCTCGTGTCAGCATCTTGCTTGGGACGCGCGGCAATGTGGTCGAGCCACGTCTGGAGCAGCTGCGTCATCGGGGCAAAGAGACAGGCGATCCCGGAGCCGTCGTGGAGCCGCAGCACGATCGCTTGGTTGCGCTTCCAGCGCAGCGCCTTGGACAAGACGCGGAGCGCGACCGAAAGGCGAACGCAAAGCGCGTGCTGTAGTGCGTAGAGCATCTCGTCGACGACAAGCGTGAGCGCGCCAAGCGGCCAGTCGCCCGCGCTCATGGTATCGTTGCTAACGTACATTTGCTGGAGCACCTCGACGTCGTGGAGGAAGCACGCCAACTCCGACGCGGGCCGCGCATCTACGTCGAGGTGACTCAAGTGGAGGTAGCGCTCCCATACGGCGGCGAAGGCCGTCCCGCGCAGATCCATCAGACGGTCGTCGGCGCTCCACGGCGCGAAGCAGCTGTCGGTCGACCTGTACGCGCTGGGCGGCGCGGCGAGCACGTCCGAGACCGAGTACGGGGCGTCCTCCGCGAGGTCGAAGCCCATGAGGTTGTGGCGGAGGACGTCGCCGACGATGCTGCGCTCCGTGCCATCGCCGCCAGACTCGTCCATGCGCCTGATTGGGTTCGTGGATATTTCCTGCGACAATGAATATTATGGCCCACGACCTAACCGGAGATATACGTAAATAGTGTATGCGTCGATACTGGGCCGTGCGGCAATACACCACGGATCGCACACTATATAGAGAGCACGATAAAAGCGTAGGGCCCCCTACCTCGAAGTGCGTCGAAAAAGAATCTGCATGCAAACGAAAAGGGCGCGTAACGTATGAGGGGACCCTCGTTTTTCAACGCGGTGAATCAACCGCCAGATTCATCCACCATGCTTTACGGGTCATTTACGATGGTGATTTGATGCCGCACACAAAGGTGAACCAAACTAGGTGAAAAGCGGTTGCTTTGGCAACCACGACAGCAATAGTACCTGCGCTGTATGCGTCGGCACACAGATCCATCGCCACGTCAGTTATCCGGATAGGCAGTCAAGGCCGATCGATGTGATGGCGTGACAAAAGACCCTACTGCATCCACAGGGACATCATGTGTACTACATGGCGAAGACACTCATGTGACCATGCAGCGCATCCTTCTTGCTTCGCTCGCCGCCACCGCCGTTTTGGCCAGCTCTACGCCACGTCGCTGGAAGGTCGAGCACAAGGTGCACAATGCCAACGCCCCCGGACGACCACAGAAGGGCAAAACGAGCCCCCGCGCCGCCGCCTGCGCAGCCACGGCCCGGCGAACGAATGAAGAAGAAATAGATTGTTAGTCTCTACGTATGCGAACTCTTTGTATCAACGAAGATAACGCGAAACACGTTCATGTATATAAGGTCGCGAGGCCTCTGTCCGACTGGGGCACACAGTGTCGTCTTAGTTGATAAGGCGGAAGCAAAACCGAAGTACGTGACGACAATACCCAGCGCCAACATGACGCCAAAGACGCCAGCTGCAATCGCGGCCGTGTGAAGTATGTTGAGCGGTGCATTGGCGATATGCCCTGGTCTTGTGCGCGGATGGGAACGAATTGGTGTTGTATGACCACGTCAGTGCCGTCACGCCGTTCGGTTCAATGCCACGTCCAAGTCGACGACCGCTGCAAGCCGCCGCTAGAGCGCAATCGAGAGCACACCGTTGATGTGCCAATACCCTCGTTTTCCGTGCCATGTCGCATCAAGTTGACACCGGGATCAACAGGTTTAAACAGCCTTGCGCGTAAGTTTAACGTCGACCAATGAAAACGCTGCTTAATGTAAGGACGCGATCTTGTCGGCCTTTTTAACGAATCCAGGTACAGACGTCGTCGCCCGTCGCGGCTTTCCGTACATGGTCAGCTCGATCGCTGAAGCGCAGCGCATTGATCAAAATGCTTCTCGTACTGCTCGTGTTGGTGTTGCTCTCGTCGCCGACGACAACAGCAGCGCTCAACGCCACGATCTGCGAGTCGCTCGCCTTTGCAAATGCACCTGTCGTCTCCATGGGCCGCACGCCCATGGGCCTCAAGAGCCTCGTGCAAGGCGACGCCGTCTGCTTCCAAGTGACACTCAACGACATGTCGGCCACGTGGGTCTCGATTGCGATCTCACCAACCGCCAAGATGGTCAACGATCCCGTTAACAACGTGGTCATCTACGACGTGACGCGGCCACCCGCTTTGCTCTACACGATGCGCAGCTATGCAAAGCACGACACACTACCACTGGCCGACCAGTCGCCGCTCCTCGTGTCGCAGTCGAGCAGCGTCAACGGCGTCATCACGCTGACGTTCCAGCGCAAGCTCGCGGCAGTGATCAGTTCGGACGTGGCTATTGACCCGACCGGCGTCACGACTCTTACGTGGGCGTACGGCACCGACACGTTTCCGTCGACGCACCAGGCCTGCGGCGCGCTCGAGCTCACGCTCAACTCGGTCAACAACACTGACGGTCCGCTTCAGACGCTGTACACGGGTGCGATTGCCGCTGGTGTCCTCGGCACCATGCTGCTGCTCGGCCTGATTGCGACGCACTGTGGCCGCTTCCGCCTCGTCAACTACACGGCGCTGTGCGCACCGCCAGCGTCCGAAACGAGTCTGTTGGCGCCATTCGTCCAAACCCTCGCCGACCTCAAGATTGGCGAAGTCGTTATCGTGCTGCTCTTTCTCAGTGCGCTCGTCGGCGTTAGTCTCTACCTCCAGACGCCAACGCCGATCCTCAATTACGCTAATTTTGCGTTCGTCTCGGGCCACCTCGCGCTCGTCAGTCTCGTGTTTGCGCTCCTCCCGATCGCGCGCGGACCGCACTGGCACTTCCTCTTTGGCATCTCGCACGACCGCATTCTCAAGTTTCACCGGGGTTGCTCGCGCGTCTTTGTTGTCTTTGGCTTGCTTCACTTGATCTTGAATCTCAAGTTTACGAGTCCCGTTAGCACCCAAGTGTACGGCCAGACCCAAGTCATTCCACTCGCGGGTTTGATCGCGCTCGGGTGCTTTCTGACTCTTGTGCTCGGCGGGTACGAGCCGATCCGCCGCCGCTTCTACGCGCTTTTCCAGCTGCACCACCGCGTCTTCTCGCTTCTTGGGCTCGTCGCACTCCTTCTGCACAGCACGGTCGTGCGGTACATGCTGCTGCTGCCACTGATCGTGTACGGTCTCTCGGGCGTCCTCCGGCTGCGCGCCTTTTGCCAGACGTTTGATGCTCGCGTCGATGTGGCGTTGGAGAAGGTGGTGACGCTGGTGCTCCCTCCCTCCGACAAGACCAAGCGCTGGGCGGCGACCATGAACCCGGCCTCGTTCTTCTACGTCCAAGTGCCCAGCGTCTCGGGGCTCGAGTGGCATCCGTTCTCGGCCATCGTGACGCCGGATGGCAACTCGATCGGTTTTTGCCTCAAGGTCAGGACCAAAAACCGCTTCGTCGACGACGTGTACCAGCGTGCGCTTTCGCTGCGTGCAATGACGCTGCCAATCGCAGTCGGTGGGCCGTACGGCAAGCTGTCGCTGGACCTCGGTCGATACGACGTCGTCCTTATGGTATCTGGCGGCATTGGCGTGACCCCGATGCTGAGCCTTGTCAACCAGTCTCGGCACGTCGATCTCAAAGTCGGGAGCAAGCTGCATTTATTTTGGAGTGTGCGCGAGGCGAGCGAACTCTTGTGCGCCGATCGCCTCATGTTTCCGTTGCCCGAGTCGCTGCACCACCGCTTCTATGTGACCAAAGCCAGCGACGAAGGTCAAGTCATGAGCGAGTCGTCGGGCCCGGTCGTGTACTACCCTGGACGCATGCTGCTCGATGAGATTGTCAACAACATCGCGTACGTTGGCAAAGCAGTGTGCGTCCTTGCGTGTGGGCCGCCGGGCCTTGTCGCTGACACGCAGCGCCACGCGCGCCAGTGCGGCTTTGACTTTCACAAGGAAGAGTTTATGTTTTAATTTGCTTTTAAAGTGCGTAGATACTAATATATGATTTTGGAGCGAATGAGTCGACTTATCGTGAGTCCTTTTGTGAGCAAGTATAGCATCCCAACGAGCTATGGGGTGGGCAGGTCATGTATGTTGGTGTACTGGCAAAGGCTGATTGATTGTCGTTGTAGCAGGGCTGGAGCGAATGCAGAATCCGGCGGGCGAGGTGGCAGATAATCTGGGATTCCAGCAGAATCCTTATACCATGAGGTTTTACGCTTAAGGCCTGGGCGATGTAGGTCGTACGACGGTCACTATGACTCGAGGCAGATAAGCTGCAGTGTCGAAGGGTGTTGAAATGCTCTCGTCTCAAGTAGCTCAGTCGTATCGGCACCATGCTGTCATTAGGGCTTATACATATTTTATCACAATCACAATCTTGTTAACAAAATATCACTTTCCAGTCGTTTCTCTCATGCATCGATGGGAAAGGCTTCGAGGACGTCGCAGCGCGAGCTGGTCATCATCTCCGTGTGGATTTGATTGAGGGCGTGCTCGGCCAGCGCAGCACGATTCTCTGCCCCGAGCACCGCTGCTTCGAGCTGGCTAATCACGGCAGCCTTCATCTCCATCGCATGGCGCACTCGCTCATGGAGTCGCTCCATTTCGTCTTGCTTGGCACGGGCCAACTGCTCTTCGAGAAGTCCTTGCTGAAGCGCATGATGCTGTACGAGCCGCGTTTTCTCTTCGACCATTTGCGTCTGGAGCGCCCGGTGCGTGGCTAACAGTGCGTCGTACTTGGTTTTTAGTTCCTCCACGGCTTTGGCCTCGCTGGCGACCTGGGCTTCGAGCTTGCAGATGGCGACTTCGCTGCGTGGCGTGGCGGCCTCGAGTTCGTGAATGCGCGCGTTGGCTTGTGCGAGTTGCCGCTCGAGCGACTTTGCGTGGCACCGCGCATCTTGCAGTGCACTCGTCAGGACCTGGGCTTCCTTGTCGAGCTGAGTCAAGACAGCCTGCAGCTGGAGCTCAGCCTGCGTCTTGAGCGCGTCAATCTTGCTCGTCACGGCGTCTTTGAGCTTGGATTCGTACGCAACTTTCCATGATTTGGCCTTGGCGCGCAACAGTGCGACTTTTTCATTGTACGCGGCCTCGGTGACTGTGAGCTGCGCGTCGGCGGCCGCTTGGATCTCGACGACTTTATCGTCGTAGAGTTTGGTGAGGCTCTCGAGCTCTTCAAAATGGGTCGTCTCGAGGCGCTGGGTGAGCTGGTCAAGCTCTGTTACGTGGCTTGCTCGTAGACTCGCGGATGCGTCGACCTCGTGCGCGAGCTCCGACTGAATAGCCGCGACGCGGGCCGCCCAATTGGTTTCGGCGTCGGTGTAGTTGGCGTGGAGTGACGAGAGCGCACTTGTGTACAGCTTCCGAAGTACGTCAACGTGGTCGACAAGCGTGTTTTCTCGGCCAGGTCGAAGGCCCGACGTGCGCACAATGACCACGTGCTCGTCCAACGCCGCAGCCATCGCTTGCGCCATGCGCCGCTCGGTCGTCGCATACGGTGTTGCATGCGCTGCACTTGGTTTTTCCTCGACGCAGCGCTGCTGCTTGAGCTTTAGCACCGCGTCTCGTGTTGCTTCGTACGCACGGGCGCTCACGAGGGGTGTTTCGCCCGCCATTCCAGCGTTTCCTCGACTGAAACGAGCCTGGTGGCTGAAACCACGCAACTTCAAACGCCCCACCGACTTGCGATGTCAATTATGTGCCCTTACGAGGGGATTTGTCTTGGTACATCGCGCGCCATTGGCGTTAATACCAGAGTAGCATTTAGAGAGGTTGAGTACATCACGGAAAATTACTTCAAAAATGGGCGATTGAGATGCCAACTCCTTCAAATTCCAGTGGTTTTTGTCTCGATCACCCTACCGCACAACCACGTCACGGACGCGTAAATGAGATTGCCAAGCTCTCTCTTTAGGACTCTAGTTAGTTCATGGCCGAGGCGCACGGGTATATGAGACCTTCACTGGACTACCGAGAAGGATTCATGAATGGACTTCGCGGATCGACCAACTCGGTCGACGCCGTCGTCGCACTGATAGGTTACAGTACATGACTTGATATTTGTATGCGTGCTGCTTCAATTTGCAGTTTCGATTTCGACCAATCACGTCAGCTGAAATCCAATCGTTAATAAAATACGCGTCTCGTACTTGCGTTTTGTATATCGTATAAAATATGGCATATTGTAGTACGATCCGCAGACTTCGCGTGTCATCATTTTCGCTTCGCACCATCAAGGCCCTATAGTCCTCGGCAATATGCAGATCAATATCATAGCCGCTGTGCCCCGGAACCGCATCATCGGCCGCAATGGGACGCTGCCGTGGTCGCTGCCCAAGGACTGGAACTACTTTCTCAACACGGTCAAGGGTCACGTCTCGATCATGGGCAAGACGTGCTTTGACGAGTTCGCGGCCGGCCCCGCCTTTCCCGCCATCGTCGTCTCTCGGTCGCTTATCGAGGCCGGCAAGACGCCGCCGCATACGAGCCTCGCGAGCAGCTACGAGGAGGCGCTAGATATTGCGCGCAACCAGGGCGTGAACGAGGTCTGGATTCTCGGCGGCCAGCGCATTTATACCGAGGCACTGACAACAGCCGACAAGCTCTACATCACGCGAATCGATGCCGAGTACGACGGCGACACCCTCTTCCCCGAGTGGGACAAGCATTTTACCGTGTGCGAGTCGCGCGTTGAAGACGAAGACAACGGTGTCCAGTACGAGACATTGTTCTATCAACGCTTTGGGTCTCACGCCACCTCTGTAGGCTCGCGTTTGAAGTGTGGTCGAAAGCTCAAAATTAGGTTGATTCTACCCGAGTGCCCACGGTACACATACTTATGACGTTAACCTATACTAAGTACCGACTCGTAACTCATACAAAGATAAGCTGCGCATCGTGTACAATGTAGAGCAAAGCGGGTGGCAGCGTCACATCGCAGATGACCAAGTCCTTGACGGGCTCCTTGACCGTCTTGGCGGTTGCTTAATCGCAATCGAGACCCACTTGGGCGGCGGCCTATGATTACGACGTGTGCATTTGCAAAGGCGAGCAACTCGCAGAACGTGGCGCTGAGCGATGTTGTTTTCGTTGCCGCCAACCTCGCAAATTGGCACAATGCGCAACGCATGGTCCACCCTGAAATGAATTGCCTGATATACTTGTCAATAGAGAGGGTGTCACAACTGCTCTATCAAGTGCTGCATCTATATTGTAATAAATTCTCTTCATGCGACGTTTGCGCGACGCAGGAGCCAAGGTTCAGTCCCTTCGCAATCGTTTGATGCAATATTGTATCTTTGTTCCTTTTTTCCACATCAGACATCAGATTGACGTCAAGTGCACGATACCTTTTCTCTCGCCTGAGCTCTTGCCTTGCTGTTGCAAACAACATATCTTGGGTTTACATAATCAACTTGACAAATCTTTGTGGGTGTGTTGCGTCTCCTGTAGCGCGTTCCAGTCACGCCCAACTCCTCCTTCGGCGCGAGAGCTTTGTAAAATACGCTAGTTGTTGACGACGGAGAAACAGCTGATAAGCGCCAAAGTGCATTTAGATCGAGACAACCACTACGTGGGTGCATCTCACGCAAGGGCAAAGAGCTCCTTGTGAAAGCTATAGCCACGGAGTGCCGCTTCGTATTGTACTTCGTCGACGAGCGATTGGGGTCCGCATACTACGACGCCGACGCGCGGCGACTCGAATGGATCAAGTGCGAGGACGTCGTGCATCGCCGGGCGTTTGGCTACGTATGCGACGTCACCGCCGTAGGCGCTCAAGACGACACCGTCAGACGTCGCGCGGGTGGCATAGTAGTGACACTGAACGTCCGGCAGCATCGGAAACATGAGTCGGTCGGCGCAGAGGAGGTCGTCGGGCGTTGGCACGATCCAGTGCAAGTGCAGCTGCGGCGCGCGCAGGACCATGCGACTCTTGGCTTTCTGGCGACGTTGGTTGATGATATTGAGGAGCGGTGTGATACCAACACCACCGGCAATCAAAACAACAACGTCCAGAGCATTCCAGGGGAGCGCGATGTGGCCGTAGGGACCGCCCAGTCGAACGCGAAGGACGCGCGTGTTACTGCAAAGCACCTTGTGCACAAACGAAGCTGGTGACTGCGATTTGAGGCAAAACCCGACCGAGTTGCCGTCCGGCGTCACAATTCCCGAGAACGGATGCCACTCGACGCCCGAGATACTGGGCACTTGGAGAAAAAAGTACGCGCCCGGCGACATCGTTGCGGCAAACTGCTTGGACGTGGGCGTAAACGGCAATACGAGCACCACAGTGCGGCGGCTCACAGACGCGTCGCACACGGTCGCGTCCGCCGTCGTCCAGTAGGCACGACTCCGCCAAAGCAGTGTCCAGACGTACAGTGCCAGCGGCAGTGCGAGGCTATAGGCCACTGTGCGGCTGTGTAGCAGCACGCAAACGAGGCCAATAATCGAAAAGGTCCGGTGGTGAAGATAAAACACCTCGTACATGGCCCGACGAAGTGGCTCGAGCATTCCGAGAAGCGCCATCGAAGAAAACGCGAGCAAGGCGACAAAACCATAGAGAGGGACGACCTCCTGCGTTCCGTACGCGACGCGGCTAAGCACGTCGATGCCCCGGTTGACGTTGACGGCCAAGTGCAGTGTCGCCGTCAACGTCACAAGCAGGCCCAACCACCGATGAAACTTTAGCACACGCTCGTGGGAGATGCCGAAAACGAGCTCCCAATGGTAGCCTCGCGCCACGGGCAGTAGCAGCCACATGAGCGAGACCAGAGCCAAGTGCCCCGAGACAAGCGATAGGCGGCGCACCCCAGTCACATTTGTGCCAAACTGGTGGACGACGACGACGCCGACGACAACGAGGCTCATGACGTACACGCCGACGACGATGGCTTGGCCGACACTGACATCGGCGAGCACCCGGCGCAACGGCGCCGTTACTGCTGGCTTGGGCGGACGGCAGAGCGGCTGCTCCACAAAGGAGCAAGGCCAGCCCGTGGCCGCCAACCCCAAGAGCACAATACAGAGAAAAGCCGAGAGGACGACGAGAACTGTGTACGACGTCACAAAAGTCGAGACGGCGCCGCCCGAGCCCGAGCCACTCGAGTCGCTCGACGGAATCGCGACGCGGAGGACGCCCCGCTCGGCGTGGTGCGACGGCCATGCGTGGTCACCGACCGCCCATAAGAGCGTGCTCGGGACGCCGGGTACAATGGCCACGTCTGTGCTTGTTTGAGCAGACAGTGACCGCGCAAAGGTAAACGAAACCCGCGTTGTGTTGACAGACGCTGCAATGACCGAGATGGGCGACTGGTCCTTCTGCACCAGGACGTCGGCGACTTCGTAGCCCTTCAGGTCGTACAAGAGCGGCAGCAGTGTCGTCGTGTCGAATACCACCGCAGAGCTTGTCGGCGTGTTCACCATGACGGGCGCGGCGGCCACGGCTACGGCAATCCACGGGGCTGTTCGCTCGGTCAAAGTTACTTGGAAGCAAGCGACGTCTGTCAACAGCTTGGCCTTTAGCACCATCGGGCCCATGGCCATGCTCTTGACGTTGGCCAATGCCTCGGGTGTACAGCTAGAAGCGGTGGCGACGACGACGACCGGCGCTGCGACAAACTGCAGCAGCGCTGCCATCCATCCCATCTCGACGCGCAGTCCTTCGGCGGGCGTCGGTTGGTGCACTGTGGAAGATCCAGCGACTTGCCATGAGCAAAGAACGTTCCGCGAGTTTGCCGTTGCAACGGTGCAGTACACCTCGTGGAACGCGACTTTCTAAG